AAAAGCCCCTGAAGAGTCATAAATATGAAAAACAAAGTATAGTTTTTTAAGTTAACCTCTATATCCTGAACTTTGTTAAAGTTGAGCTTTAACTTTTTTTAATAAGGTCTTCATTTCCTTAGACAATGTTGTTGTTGTTGTTAGTGCCATTGAGTCAGCCCTGACTCATAGTGACCCCTCCTTGGGTTTCCGAGGAAGTATCACTACAGAAGTAGGATTGCCCAACCTTCCTTCTGAGGAGTGGCTGGTGGGTTTGAACCGCCAGCCTTCTGGTTAGCAGTCAGCCTTTTAGTTGAGTCCTAATAACTTACCATTCACCAAACTGTACTGCTTTCAAAACCCCAACAGCAGCCGTACTCTGCCAGTCAAACCCTTGACCTACATGATCAGCATGAGCTCTTGTCCTATCTTCAAAGAGGACTTCACGGGGTTCACTGGTCCGAGGTAGGTACTGGAGATTTTTAATTTCATTCATTGATCTAGAGTTCATTTGGTTGTAAAGAAAAGGGAAAGCAAGCAAGAAAGAGACAATGAAAAAAAAGTATTAATAATGGCTGAAAAGAGTTCAATGATTTTGATCATTAGCATTCATCACACTATTGTGTAACTCTTAACGTGATAACCTTGCTCTTTCTGAGGCCTAAGCAGAAACTGTATCTTTGATAAGATTCAAAAATCTGTAAAATTTATTTGTCCAAGAAAGAGAAAATAGAATTCAAAGCTGAAGGCAATATGTTTCTTTACCCTCAGGCATCCTCATTCCTTTCTCTCAAAACATCCTATTAGACACAGAGCACCCACATGATCTCCTCCTTCCACATTAAAATAAAAGTAAAAAATCTTCAAATTAATATGGTAGGAGTGAGGGGCACTGAATGGTGAGATGAATGGGGGTATAGAAAAAACAAAATTAGTCATAAATTGAAAACTGTTGATAATGGGGTAATGAATACAAGGGGATTATTGTATTATTCTACCTACTTCTTTATGTGCTCAAAATTCTTTTAGAAAAATATTTAAAGATAATAGTAAATGAATGAATAACAACAACTAAGGTAACAGGAAATGAACTAGTAAGTGAACAACATCAACAAATTCTGGAAGAATGAAAATAATTACAAGTGTCTAAAACTAATAAAATTCAGCAGAAAAAACCACAGGCCTAAAATTCAGCAAAGAAAGCCACAGGCACAGAACACATGAGAGGAACTGCAGGCAAAAAGACAGAGGCTTGCCCAACAGACTTTCAAGAAGCCTAAAACTCAAATAAGCCTGTCATAATGGTGATAATGAGAAATGAAGTGAGTCTAAGAATTAACATGAAATTCTTCAAGTGAACTAGTCACATCCTCCATAACTGCTGGTAGGAAGAAAAGTCAGGCATTTACCCCCACGGAGTAGACTACTGGTTGCCTACACAGCATATATCCCCCCCTTTATTTCCCTGATAGAACACTAATTTTGATTATGTATCTGCTCCTACCCCATGTGTGACCTCATTCACAAGTTCCAGAGGTAGGTTCTGATGAGTCTGGGCAAGCTAGGGTAAACACATTCTCCTTTTCAGTAACTAATTTAGGACCTAATTCTAGATAACAATGTGAGAAGAAATCTGCTGAGGAAACTTCTGGGGAGTTCCCTAGCTTCTAAGAAAGAAGTTTAAGAAAAGGCAGTCTCTTATTCTGCTAAATAAAACGAGATCCAGATATGATTCTTAGAACTGCTATAGCCATCTGACAACCATACAGGAAGCCAGGGAGTACAAAGCCTAGGCAAAGAGAATGAAAGAACAGAGAGAGGGAAAGGCCCTAATTCCTTAATGACATCATTAAGCTACTGACTGTATGGTACCTGGAACCAGCCTACTCTAGACTTCTTGATATACAGGATAATAAACATTTTACTGTATGAATCCATTTGAGTCAAGATTTTTGTTGCTTATAGCAAAAGCATCCTAATAAACATTACCAAAAAGAACAGCATGTTCTTCTGTAAACAAACTGAAACTGCCATAAGAACAAAACTAGCGTAATCCTCTGGCACCTGGGCATATCCCTTCAGGTCCAGCTCTATGCTTGTCAACTTTAAAGTGAAATCTGCTGTTGACAAGTATCACCTACATATAAAGAGAACTCCCAGTAAGTCCAGTGCTTTATTTTTAAGCATGAATGGAGCAACAATCACCAGATATTTGAGGAAAGCCTTTAACAGTCTGACAAAGACCAAAGTAAACAATGGTAAAATTTAAAAATTCAACAGAAAAGTTAGAAGAGTCAAGTAAATGTTTCAGAATCAAAAGCAAAAAGGTAAGTAATAGGAAATATGAGAATAATCAAACTAGGAGACCTATTATTCAACCAATAGTAGTTCAGAAATAACAGAAAATGGAAAAGAAATTATGAAAGCAATTAAAGAAGAATATCTTCCATAAATGAAAGGAGATGTGAATCTTTAAAGACCTACCATACATAAAAAAGAATGAATTTAAAAAATAGGAACCCAAATCTAGACACATCATTTTGAAATTTCAGAATACCAATGATAAATGAAAGATGTCATAAGCTTTCAGAGAAGGAAAAAAATAGGTCACTTACAAAAGGACAAAAATTACATAGGCATTAAGGTTTCTCATAAACAATACCAAAACTGGGGGAAAATAGAACCCCTGGACTCAGGTAATCAATCATGTATGTTGTTTTTGTTGTGTTCCATCAATTCCAATTCACAGCATCTTAATTAGCTAGCTAGTACTGCTGTAACAGAAATACAAGTAGCTCCCGCTCCTCAAAAGTTCACTTTATGCCACTTCACTTTTTTTTTTAATTTTGTTTTTATTGTTGTTGAGAATGTGCACAGCAGAGCAAATACCAATTCATCAGTTTCTACATGTACAACTTGGTGACACTGAAGATATTCTGCAAGTTGTGCAGCCATTCTCACCCTCCTCTTCCAAATTGTTCCTGCCCCAATAACATCAACTCACTGCCCCTAAGCTTCCTATGTAAACTTTCAAGTTGCTGTTGGTCAGTTTCATCCCACAGAGACTCATCTTAAAAGAGCGGAGTGCTCAAAGCAGACATTCTTGACTAGTTAAGCCAACTGTTCCTGCTTTAGAGGAGACTTCAGGGGATCTTTTGGGGTCAAAGTTTAAAGATGATCTCTGTTTTGGGGGTTCGTTTTGGCTACCGTGACACAGGCCATCACACCTTCTATTTGAGGCTCAAGTGTAAGTGACTCTCAGTCACTCAGGAAATGCCACTTCACTTTGACGAAAGAGCTCTTTTTGCCAACCAAAACAAATCCAAAGATGATTTTCACTTTTACAAAAAAAGGCGAAAAGCAAAACCAGCATTCATCATTTTACAGTGAGCCACTAAAGAGGCAGCACACACCACACCCTCAACAGTGATAGTGGTGTCACCAAGTTTCTTCCCCAGGAACTACACTCAGCATCTCAATATCAAGCCACCACAGCAATGAACTGTGTTTGTGAACACTATATGTTAGTGTTATTTCAGGTTTTATGTGTTATTTGGTATGATTTTGTATATTTTTGGGGTCTGGGAACACTCAAAATTTTTTCCCATATAAATTACAATTACTCCACACTTATCAACTATCTTGTTATTCAATACTTCACATTTACACCAATAGTAAAAAATCTACCTGACTTTTTTGCACATTAATGACTTACGTCTGGCAGTAACAAATGTCCAGGTGTGAGGCAAGAGTTACATTGGTTGTGACAGTTATGTGTCAACGTGGCTGGGCCATGATTCTTGGTAGTTAGCCAGCTATGTATTGATGTCATTTGGCAGTTATGTAATAATGCAGTCATCCTCTATTTTGTGATCTGACATGGTCATCCTCTGTTTTCACATAATGCCGATTTCTACATAATGACCTGGTCTTTGGAACCTAACCAGGTTGGTAATTGAAAAGTGGGTGTAATGGTAGTTGCTTCTTCACTTCACACCATTTTGGCTTATGAAAGGTTTCATAGGAACACTCTACCTTCAGATAGAGGGGGAAACCTGTACCACAAGTAGATGGCTTTAATAAACAGAAATTTATTTTCTTACAGTTTAGGAGGCAAGAAGTCCAAATTCAGAATGCCGGTTCTAGGGAAAGGCTTTCTTTCTCTGTGGGCTCGGAGGAAGGTCTTTGTCTCTTCAGCTTTTGCTCCCTGGGTCCTTGAAGATCTCCATGTGTTTTGGCATCTACCTTACCCTATCTCTGTTTACCTGTTTATGCTTAATCTCTTTTATGGGAGCTCTGGTAGCATAGTGCCTAGGCATTTGACTGCTAACCAGAAGGCTGGCGGTTCAAACCCACCAGTCACTCCTCAGAAGGAAGATGGGGCAATCCACTTCCTTAGTGATACTGCCTCAGAAACCCAAGGAGGGGTCACTATGAGTCAGGTCCAACTCGGTACATAACAACAACACAAAACAATCTCTTTTATACCCAAGACAGATTGACTCAAAATATGTTAATCATGTCTAAATAGCATAACAAAGGCAACCCATTCCCCAAAGGGAAAGAGATGAGGCAGTCTGCTTCCACAAAGATTTATAGTTCTAGAAACCCTATGAGGCAGTTCTACTTTGTCCTATAGGGTCCCTCCCAGTAGCAATTAACTCAATGGCAGTGGGTTGTTGCGTCTGCAGTAAACTTACCTAGTCGTAATATTATACCATTTACTTACTTTCAAATTTTAGAATCCACCTATCGACAGAGCATGTAAGACTTAAATTACGGTTTTAAAGAATATAAATTAACCTCAGCAATGTAAAATTACAACTGACGGGATGAAGAGGGCAAAGGAAGGGCACCATTTCCTTATCTTACAAATTAGGGAGTCATATTTTCTATAGTTAATAAAACAGAAAAGAGATTTAAGATATATTATTTAACATTACTAAGGTAACAAAGTAAAGTTATTTAACTATCTGAAGAATAAGTGGGGGGAAAACTCTCCATCCATCATACCAAGAAATCAACAAACTGTCACAGCCTTAAAGATGGCATTAAACAGAAATGCTTTTTGCTTCTGGTAAAAATGTGTTTGTGTTTGGGAAGAAGTGGACAAGATTTTTCATTATAAGCCCTACTGTACTATTTCACTTTTTAAAATCTTGTGCGTGTAACTTGAGAGTTCATAAATCCAAACATCATCCTCGTTAGCAGGACCCTTGATAAATGGTCAGCTTCTTAGGCTGACTCCACCATTTTCAGCAACAAGAAATTCTCATTCATACAAGAAGATGAAATTAGTCTTTAAATTCCAATTGATTCATCAAAACCTGATTTTAAAATATTTTTCACTCTAATTCAAAATGCTTTGGAACACCTCACTGAAGAATATTTCAACCCAACAGAAATAAAACTTGATGGTACCTCAGATTCTGTAGAAAAGTAACAGTATTTAATAAATGATGCTGATACAGTTGGCTAACTACTTGGGGGGAAAAATTAAATCTCTCTCTATATACTGAGGAGCTCTGCTAGTGCTATACTATAAATGGCTATAGTGCGTAGCCATTTGACTGCTAACCAGAAGGCTGGCGGTTCAAACCCACCAGTCACTCCTCAGAAGGAAGATGTGGCAATCTACTTCCGTAGTAATACTGCCTCGGAAACCCAAGGAGGGGTCGCTATGAGTCGGGTCCCGACTCCATGGCATACAACAACAACAACAATATATACTGAAACTAATTTCAAGTAGATTAATATATAAATGCTGTGATCACAGAAGTACTAGGAGACTATGTAGGGGAATATTTTATAATCCTAAAGGAGGGAAGGCCTTTCTAAGCCTGCTACTAAAGGAAAAACCTCAAAGGAAAAGAGGTTTTTTGACTACATGTAAACAAAAGCTTTTGTAAACAAAGACAAAACACTGAAGCAAAAAGAAAATAATGAGGAGAAAAACTTGTAAAACAAGAAAAGTGATCATAAGCATAATATGTAATAAATTCACACAAAAACACCCCAATAGAAATAAGCATAAAAGAAATTGAGAGTATCACAAAAAGAAATACAAAACCCTCAAAGAAAAGCAAATTAAAATGATAAACATTTTTGTCCAATCAAATAAAAGATTAAAAAGAATAGATGGTGTGGAGAAAAGAGCACTGTCCCATTATGCAGGTAGGAGTATAAGTAGACTCATTTCTGGAGGTCAATCTGAAATGTGTACATGTAGATCCAGCAATTCTACTTTTGGGAATTTTGACTAAGAAAACAAACACATATCTGCACAAAGATACATATCCATCCATCCAATCATCTATCCATCTATGTTGAACGATGTGCTGGTATATGTTTAACAACTGGCTTGGGGCAGTAGTGGCTAATTTATGGGTGGTTTCCATCTGACTTGCTGATTTCTGTAGTACAAATACTCCCAACAAGGTCGATTTCAAGCTACTGATATGATGACTCAATATGTAATTGAGAATTTACGTTAGTAATAGCTCTTATGATCTGATATAAGCTGGCTCCAACACACCACTGTCAAAATACTGTTTATATTAGAAATGGGAAACAATTTGCATTGATAAAGAACTGATTAAATAAATCTTGATATAACCATATAGTGAAAACTACATAATTATTTAGAAATGATGATATGGTTACATCTTAATATAGATAAACCTAAGTGGGGGAGACCCCACGTTTAAAAATAAACATCATGTAAAGTATTAGTTCATTGTTTTGGTACAAAAATATTTAAATATGAGTATATATATGTATATGGACTAAACTATGAAAGGTTAATATACCTAAACTAGTGGGATTATAGACTTTTTTTTAAACTCCCTTATATTATCTGATTTTTATTTTTATTTTTTTTTTAATTTATAATAGTCAAGAAGCAAACAATGGTCATTTCCTTTTTGGAAAGATTATAGAACAAAAAATATATACTCTACTTAAGAATTTAGTAGAATTTCAAGATTCATCGTCATCATGTATGTAACTGCTCTGGTTCCAGAACATGAAGAAATTTCAGTTAACTGACAAGTTTTACCATGCTACCACCTTGCATTCATAGTAGTATTTACAAAGTATTTTTACGTATTATCTCAAGTGTTGGTATTGTTGTTAGCTGCCACTGAGTTAGCCCTTGACTCATGGCAACGCCATGCACAAATGAACAAAATGCTCCCCAGGCCTGCCCAATCCCCATAACCAGCTGCAGACTGAACTGCTGTGATCCACACATAGGGTTTTCAAAGGCTGATTTTTGGAAGTAGATGACCAGGCCTTTCTTCCTAGACCACCTTAGTCTGGAAGCTCTACTGAAACCTGGTTCAACATCATAGCAACACACAAGCCTCCACTGACAGGCAATGTGGTGGCTGGCCAGGAAGTGTACTGGCCGGGAATCAAGTGTTACAAAGATTATTTCAGCACTCAGCTGAAGTATCATTTTCCTGTGAGCTTTAAGGTAAGGTCTAGACTAGTCCATTAAAACTCCCTTCTCTGGGACTTACTTTGGGTTGCTCTTTTCATACCCAAACCGACTGCCATCAAGTTGATTCTGACTCACAGCAACCCTACAGACAAAAAAGAACTGCTCCACAGGGTTTCCAAGACTGTAATCTTTACAAAAGCAAACTGCCACATCTTTCTCCCATGGAGCAGCTGGTATGTCCAAACCATCAACCTTTTGATTAGCAGCTGAGCTCTTAACCACTGCCCCACCAGGGCTCTTTGTTCTTTCCATAATCTATGCAAATATAAATCATTTTCAGTTTTAATAAATAAGATTTTTCATAGTACTAGAATGCATTAATCTACATTTGTTTTATGTTTCTGAAATACAAAATATGTTAGCACAATATGAATCACTGAAGCTCTGCATCATAGGGGAATACATTATTGGTTCAATTCAACAAACACTGGTCACCTACTATGTGTCATGAAGACAAAGATGAATAAAACATAGTCCCTGTCCTCAAGGAGTTCAAACTCTAATAGAAAATAAAAACACATAAATAGATCATTAATGAACAGAATGTGGTGGGAGCACAGAGAAGAGACCAATTAATCATCTAAGAGAATAAAGAAAGGCTTCACAAGGGAGATGATATTCAGGTTTTGAAAATTTAATAAGAGTCTGCCAAGCAGAAAGGAGGATAGGGGAGACAATGCCATTCCAAGTAAAAGCACAATGCTAAAGCACAGAGCTGTGTACAACCATAGTTTAAAGCTAAATTCTGTATTATTGGAAAGCTCTAGAAGCAGATACATCTAGAGGATGTACTGCTGGGGCCAGATTATGAAAGATCCTTAAAGACCACACTGAGGAGGAGTTTGTTCTTTATCTTGCAGGCAGTTAGGACCCAAGTTTTAAGAAAAGAAGCGAAAAATTAAATTTGTTTTCAGAAGAACTCTGATGACTATGTAATAATTAGTGGACTGGATCAAGGAACTGACCACGAGAAGGCTTACTTAAGAGAGCTCTTAAAATAATCTAGACAAACGGGTTTTAAACTGTGTCTGAGTCTCAAATCATTTTTATAAGCAACCAAGTTTTCGAAAAGTACTTTTGGTTATTTGAGAAAAACAAATGTTTACCGTCGTCTTTTGAAGGGTGACTTTGGCATATCTGCTGTAGGGATCATCTGTTCTCCTGGCCTTACCCACATTATAGGCCCATCATCACTCTGGGACCTACACTGGAGTCGAAGGCTGGAAAGCGTACCCCAGGGCAAAGTCATCTAGAAATCAGATAAATGAGTCACATTTTTAAAATATTTTCCAGTTTATTTACAACTTATCCCCCCACCAAAAAGCTTTGTGTCTATGTATAAAAGAAATAAATGCTACATTACACAGTGATTTATTTAAAAAAGAATAATTGAGGTTAAGTCCTTTGTACCAACAATTTTTTACATGTTTGTATTCAACACTAGATAAAATTTAATTTTAATAGGCAAGATTAACTTAATACTCTTTAATGGAAAAGTGCCAAAACTTAACACTCACTTTCAGAAATGGTGATTCTTCTAACATATCAAGGAACTCTGGGAAATAATCACCAACTTCCTCATCTACTGCTCCAACAAGACTTATCTGCCGCATCGGACCTGCTCGGTAGGTGCCACAGCAGTATGTCCTGTTGACCTGAGAACAAATGAAATTGGGGGGTGGGGGAGAACTGAAGTACATCATAATATAATTAAATAGATTAGGGATTGTTTCCAATGTTGCTATTTCTTCTATATACTAACAATTCAATGGTCAGCACCTTGGATAAAATCAAAGTTACAGAAAGGCACATGAGCACACTGACAAATGTATTAATACAGTATGTACCACAAACAGAAATTTCAGTGGGTAACTTAGCCCACAGTTCTAACACCTCAAAGAAATACCCAAAACATTAAGATATCCTTAAAATTCTCTAAGAAAGATGGCTTCTGAACTTTGTAAACACTTTAAAGTGATAGGTAAGAAAAAAAAAATCTGAGTAAATAAACAGTGAAATTGATAGGGCAAGGGAAAATAAAAGATCATAGACAGATTAATCTTGCATATTCACTTTGTCCTTCCTAGTTTGAAAGTCCTCACATCAGACCACACACCAAGCTGACATATTTAAAACCAGAGATCAACTGTCCCCATCTTCCAACTCACTCTCTCATTAGTTTCATGTAAGAACCTTGACTCTGAGCAGGATGATCTTTTTCTTTACTCAACTTATGCCGGACTTATTTCCACCTCCAGTGATTTTTCTCTTAAAACTGCCCTCCTCAGAACGTCCCCTTTCCTGCCATCTAAGCCTTAACTTAACCTCTTTTAAAGATCAGTTCAAGTCTTTTCTTCTTCCAGAAGGCCTCTGTATATTTCCCTTTTCTGAAATCTAAGGTTACCTCCTACCATTCATACATTTTATCTAAATTAAATTGATAGTGGATTTAGGGGATATCCTATACAAATTTGTAGCCCTGAGCATCCTATCTAGCATTCAAATGGTGTTTACAAATTGATTCCATATAATTCTATATTATTGCTCTAGTCATTTCATGTATGTTCTTATTTCATACTCCTATGAATACTGGATAACTTAGAATGAATGTTTGACAAACATAGAGACACTTTCTGTGCACACAGATGAGAAGACTAAATATGTTGGCTTCTAACCAGGATTTCCACCTCAGATCAGTCACCCAGCATTTCCTACCTAAGATGCAGATTAAATTGAACAGCATAAAACAAAGAGTTGTACCTTTATAACACTGAACATTCAAAATAAATTTTTAAAGAATCAGTTGTTGCTGCTTTAAATGTCACTTATTTTGCCTTAATAGAAAGCAGTTCACATAAATGACGATCTAGTATTTCTTACACAATTCTCCACTATTAGTTCTTCAGCTGCATTTTCAGAATCAACCTACTGTTTTGTCTTTCCACAATTTAACATCATCTCTGCAAATATACACACAAAGAAGGAACAAAAGAGCTTAGATCTTGTTTTAATTCCCTACCAAATGTTCCCCTAAGATACCTTAAGTGATTCTCAAGTAACAACCACCCAAGCCAGAAGTACTTTGTACATATTTATATGATCCTATTACAAAAAGTCATGGGAGGTAACATCAAAAAGAGGATCATCATAGGGTATAGTAATTAGGAAGAGGAAAGAAAAGAAGCTATACTAAGCACTAATCTAACCTTTCTGAGCTAAGCACCCTAAAACAATTAAGGCAGATTTAACCTTGAGTACCAGTTCTAAGAATAATATACTTTCTATAGGTAATAATACCAGTCTCCACCAAACACCTCCTATGCTAAATTATCAGAAATTCCTTTATTAAAAAAAAGCTTTTAATCTATACAAGGCATTTTATGGGAGTTATGTTCTAAACACTCAGCATAATTTAAAGCTCTCATAACTTAAGACCAATCATGAAGACGTAAACTACCAAGTCACAGTTTTTAATTTACTTGGTCTGCTAGCTTTCCGATTATGCAACTCTTAATGCATTACTAATTTCAAAGAATTCACATTACTCTATATTTTTCAGAGTAAGACTAAATTAATATTTTTATTTTACATCATTCCAAGTTTACCTAATTCAAATATTGCTCAATTCAATAGCACTGAACTTAAAGACAACTTAAATGGAAATACATTTGGCTGCTAACCAAAAGGTAGGGATTTTGAACCCACCAGCCATTCCATGGGAGAAAGATGAGGCAGTCTGCTTCTGTAAAGATTCACAGCCTTGGACACTCTATAGGCCAATTCTACTCAGTCCTACAGGGCTCCTATGAATTGGAACTGACTCAATGGCAGTGGGTTTAGGTTGGGTAGGATAGTTAATATGTGGCATAAGTAAATATAAAGCATCTTTTCTATTTGGAAAGAGAAAGTAAGCCTGAAAATGGGGCAGAAGGAACAACAGAAGACAAAAAGAGGGAGAGCTATGACCATGAAAGAGCAAATTTTGATGATCTCCTAATTCTGTCTAGGCCAACATGTTTATCTTCATCTATACCAAAAAAGAAAAAAAAGATCTCACTGCTGTCAAGTCGATTTGACTCATAGCGACCTTTCCTTGGGTTTCTGAGGCAGTATCTCTATGGAAGCAGATTGTCCAACCTTCCTTCCGAGGAGTGGTGTGGTGGGTTTGAATTGCCAGCCTTCTGGTTAGCAGTCAGATGCCTTAAGCACTATGCCACCGTCTCCAAAAAGAAAATCTATGTGCAAAAAACACTTCTCATACTATGAGACTCTTGAGGTTCACCCCTCTATGGGAATTATGATAAATTATATCCATATGGATGCTAATGAACTACCAATACTGCTGAATTTTTAGCTAGTGACAAAAGAGCCATCAAACAAATAAATATGGTACAATATACCAGGACTAAGGAGCCCTGGTGACATGGTGCCTAAGGCATTTGACCACTAACCAAAAGGTTGGTGGTTAAACCCACCAGCAAAGGTTCCAGAGAAGGATGATGGGGCAATCTGCGTCAGTAAAGATTGATAGTTTTGGAAACTCAGTGGGGGTTGCTATGAGTCAGAATCAACTAAATGGCATGAGTTTGTTTTGTTTTTAATATACCAGGATTGGATTTTGAAACCTGCCACACAAAAGACCTATTTGAAAAATTAGCTAAATTAGACTAGCTGGAAGAAGGCATTATTAGAAACCCACAACCTTCCTGGCTTTCACACCTTTACTTACATGAAATCTAGTTTCCTTTACCTGTATGTTTCTGTCAGTTTTAGCACTCCCCTGCTTATACTTCAGAGCAGAGCAGTGGCAAGGATCCAGGTAAGGGAAGGGACCCACGCCCCATCTTCAAGAGGCAGGAAGAGGACAGAGCAAGCAGCAGCAGGGATCCAGGTAAAGGGAGGGCAGAGAGGTTTTGAACAGCTAAGGGAGACAAACTTGTCTGTCATTTTGTCATACAGTGGTGGCTTACGTGTCGCTGTGAGGCTTGAGGCTGTGCCACCGGTGTTTCAAATGCCAGCAGGGTTGCACATGGTGCACAGATTTCAACAGAGCTTACAGACTGAGACAGACTAGGAAGAAGGAAGAGGCCATCCAATTCTCAAAGAACGGGCCAGGGAAAACCTTATGAATAGCAGAGAAACACTGTCTGATACATTACTGCACAACTTTATAAATAGCCCAGAAACATTATCTGATACAGTGCAGGAGGACGAGCCCCTTAGGTCAGAAGGTTTTCAGAATACGACTAGGAAAGAGCTGCATCATCAGAGTAGGACCAACCTTACTGATGTGGATAAAGTTTTTGAGACCTCCATATGCTGACGTAGCATGACTCAAATTCAAGAGAAAGAGTTGCAAACATCCATCAATAATAGGAACATGGAATGTACGAAGTGTGACTCTACAAAAATTGGAAGTTGTCAAAAATGAAATGGAACGCGTAAAGATTGACATCCTAGGCATTAGTGAGCAGAAATGGACTGGTTTGGGCTGTTTTGAATCAGACAACCACATAATCTACTATGCTGGGAATGCCAATTTGAAGAGGAATGGTGTATCATTCATCATCACAAAGGATGTTTCAAGATCTGTCCTGAAGTACAGTGCTGTCAGTGATAGGATAATATCCATACGCCTACAAGGAAGACCAGTTAATATGACTCTTACTCAAATTTATGCACCAACCATCAAAGCCAAAGATGAAGAAACTGAAGATTTTTATCAACTTCTGCTGTCTGAAATTGAAAGAACATGCAATGAAGATGTGTTCATTATCACTGGTGACTGGAATGCAAAAGTTGGAAACAAACAAGAATCATCGGCAGTTGGAAAATTTGGCTATGGTGACAGAAATAACACAGGAGATCACATGACAGAATTTTGCAACATCAACGACTTATTCATTGCAAATACTTTTCAACAACACAAATGACAGCTATACACGTGAGCTTCACCAGATGGAATATGCAGGAATCAAACTGACTACATATGTGGGAAGAGGCAATGGAAAAGCTCAGTATCTTCAGCCAAACAAAGCAAGGCCAGGAGCTGATTGTGGAACAGACCATCAACTAACAAGTTTAACTTAAAGTTGAAGACAATTAAAACAAGTCCATGAGAGCCAAAATATGATCTTGAATATATCCCTCCTGAATTTAGAGACCATCTAAAGAATAGATTTGATGCACTGAACACCAGTAACTGAAAACCAGAATAAATGTGAGCTGACATCAAGAACACCATCCACGAAGAAAACAAGAGGTCATTAAAAAGACAAGAAAAGAAGACAAGACCAAAATGGATGTCAGAAGAGACTCTGAAACTTGCCCTTAAGCAGAGAGTAGCTAAAGCAAATGGAAGAAATGACAAGATCAAAGAGCTGAACAGAAGATTTCAAAGAGCAGCTCGAGCAGACAAAGCCAATTACTATGTTGAAATGTGCTAAGACCTGGAATTAGAAAACCAAAAGGGAAGAACATGCTGGGCATTTCTGAAGCTGAAAGAACTGAGGAAAAAATGTAAGCCTCGAGTTGTAATACTGAAAGATTCTATGGGCAAAATACTGAATGACGCAGGAAGCATCAAAAGAAGACAGAAGGAACACACAGAGTCACCGTACCAAAAAGAACTGGTTGATGTTCATCCATTTCAGGA